AAGGGTTCACCGTCAGGCCGCTGCCTCTCTGTGGGGTCACAGCTCGATGCTTTTCTCCAGGATTCTGCAGCTTCTGCTTATCAAGGAAGACAAATCCAGTTTGGACACGTTTCTCTGGCACATGCTGATGCAAGACGACCACCACAGATGCAGAAATGACAACAAAATGAGCAGAAATGAGCATACAAGATGCAGAAATGACAACAAAATGTGCAGAAATGATGACAAAATGTGCAGAAATGACCATAAAAGATGCAGAAATTAACACAAAAGATGCAAAGAAGACAACAAAATGTGCAGAAATGACTATCAAAGATGTAGAAATGATAACAAAATGTGCAGAAATTACAATAAAATGTACATAATTGACAACAAAATGAACACAAAAGATGCAGAAATTACTACAAAATGTGCAGAAATGACTATAAAAGATGTAGAAATGACAACAAAATGTGCAGAAATTACAACAAAATGTGCATAAATGACAACAAAATGTGCAAAATGAACACAAAAGATGTAGAAATGAGAACAAAATGTGCAGAAATTACTATAAAAGATGTAGAAATGACAACAAAATATGCAGAGATTACAACACATGTACATAATTGACAACAAAATGTGCTAAATGAACACAAAAGATGCAGAAATGACAACAAAATGTTCAGAAATTACCATAAAAGATGTAGAAATGAACACAAAAGATGCAAAATGATAACAAACTGTGCAAAATGATTACAAAAGATATAGAAATGACAACAAAATGTGCAGAAATGATCATAAAAGATGCAGAAATGATAACAAAAGATGCAGAAATGATGACAAAATGTGCAGAAATTATCACAAAAGATGCAGAAATTATGACAAAATGTGCAGAAATTACCATAAAAGATGTAGAAATGAACACAAAAGATGCAGCAATGATAACAAAATGTGAAAAATGAAAACAAAAGATGCAGAAATGACTACAAAATGTGCGGAATTTGCAATAAAACGTGTTGAATTACCACAAAGGATCTAGAAATGACAACAAAAGATGCAGAAAAGACCACAAAACCAACACAAAAGATGCACAAATAACCATAAAATGTGCAAGAAGACCATCAAAGATACAGAAATAGGTGAAAATGTTCAGAAATTACCAAAAAAGATGTAGAAATTATTTTTGAAATGCGCTAAATGATCAGAAGTTATACGATTAAACACAAAAGATGCAAAAATGACAACAAAATGTGCAGAAATTACAACTAAATAAACAAATGATGCATGTACTTGGTTATTTTTCCTGAAAAAAAATAATGAAATATGAACATTTGATGTGTTTTTTAAATCAATGACTTTTTTTGTTTTTTTTTATCCACCTTAATGCTTATTCTTGTTCTAATGTCAATTTTGTGTCTCTTCGTGGTGCATTTTTCCTCTTTGTGGTCATTTTATGACCTTTTTTGGTTTCTTTATGTACCTTAGTGCTTATTTTTCCTGTTTTAATGTTGATTTTATGTCTCTTCATGGTGCTTTTCTGCGTCTGTGATCATTTTATCTCCTTTTGTGGATTCATTCTGTCCATTTTTTATCAGGTTGGGTCATTTGAGGCTAATTCCCCTTTTCCTGACAGAAATAAGGAGCATAAACATCTCTCTGGGGGCCGGTCAGACATGTATTAATCAGTGTGGCATCATTTGGCTTTTGGGCGTTTAAAGGAAAAGACAGCAAAACCTCTGAATCTCAACATTTCTGATCAATTCAACCACCGAAAAATGCCCAGATGTTTGGACGTGGAACAGAAATGTCTGAATCAGGGGAGAAGACAGAAGAAAGAAGGATTTTTCTCCCAAAATCCTGCAGAATCTCCTCTAAAAGCAGAATCCAGATCTCTTACACAACCTGCAGTTCCCGGGCTGACCAGCAGGGGGCCAGACAGCCAGACAGATCCCTGGACGTTATGTAACGTCTGACCCCCCCCCCCCCC